ATAATCACGCCTACTATCATCAATCATCATCAACACCATTATCACATCCATCACCATTATGCAGCATCACCATTATCACATCAACACCATTATCACACCCACCACCATCACCATTATCACCACACACACCATCACTGTCTGAACCAAGGCTGTGATGTCTGTTGGGTCATTAGGCTGAAAGAACCAAGTTTTAACGCCATAAGATATTTATGGAGACAGGTGTTTTAGGAGACAGGTGTTCTAGACAGGTTTTCCAGGAGACAGGTGTTCTAGACAGGTTTTCCAGGAGACAGGTGTTCTAGACAGGTTTTCCAGGAGACAGGTGTTCTAGACAGGTGTTTCAGGAGACAGGTGTTCTAGACAGGTGTTGCAGGAAACAGGTGTTCTAGACAGGTGTTTCAGGAGACAGGTGTTGCAGCACTGTCTCTCCGTTATGGTAGTAAAGTATCACTTATATGGCCTACACTAGACTGCTTCCCACACACTACACCGGTTTTAATGCTCGCTGTGTACACCTAATGTTGTGTGTACGTTATGTTGTGTACATGTTATGTTGTGTACACGCTATGTTGTGTACACGTTATGTTGAGTAGGTACGATTTTATCAACAAACAAGATATAAAGATATGGGAATACATACATACATACATACATACATACATACATACATACATACATACATAAGGTGGGGATTTCAAGATATTTTAAGGTATTTTGTTTCATAATATTTACAGGTCATCTCAGGTCATTAAGCGAGTGACCTGTGACCACCACCCCAGGTCATCTCAGGTTATTAAACGAGTGTGACCTGTAACCCTCCACCCCAGGTCATCTCAGGTCATTAAGGGACTGTGACCTATGACCCCACCCAGATCATTTCAGGTCATTAAGGGAGTGTGACCTATGACCCTCTACCCCAGGTCATTGAGTGTGACCTATGACCCCATCCAGGTCATCTTAGGTCATTAAACGAGTATGACCTGTGACCCCCACCCAGGTCATAAATATTTTCCTCTGATGGAGAAAAATATACAGGAATATTCGTTGTAATACTTGAGAAGATTTCCGTCAATATTTCCGTCAATATTTCCGTCAACACCTGAACCACAAATAGCTGTAGATATCCTAATGGTGGAATATTGTTAGTTACATGTTGGGTGGATGTTGGAGGGTGGTGGAAGAGAGTGGTGGGTGGATGTTGGAGGGTGGTGGAGGAGAGTGGTGGGTGGATGTTGGAGGGACATACTTCTCTCTGTCTCCAATGGCAACGCCCTGATATCCTGTCTAACATTCAATCGCTTAAGTCTCTTTGTCTGTCTATCTGTCTGTCTGTCTGTCTGTCTCTGTCTCTGTCTCCTGAGTTTCTTTTACCTCCCATTTCTCTCCTCTCTCTCTCTATCTCTTCCCTCCCATCACCAGTCCCCACCCATCATCCACGCCCACAGTATCCTTGAAAGACTAGTGTGGGCGTACGGGCGGGAGGGATGAAGAAGAAGAGAGGGTGTGTAAATATATACCTACACATGAAGCACAAGAGACTTACACATTTATACATATATTTACTACTGAGTGTATGTATACCTTTCCTGTGTATAATCTCGTGTGGGTATAGACTCCTGTGTTTCCTGGGTGTATGTTGTAGGTGTATTTTTGGTCATATTGTCTGGGTATATTTGGTTATATTATACACTGATAGGATATACTGGCTTGGTTATATGTCACTATACTGTATAATGGTATTTCTGGTATATTATTTCACCATACACCTCACCACACCACCATACACCATACTAATACACCATACACCTCACCACACCACCATACACCACACTACTACACCATACACCACACTACTACACCATACACCTCACTACTACACCATACACCCCACCACTCCACCATACACCACACCACACCATACACCTCACCACCCCACCATACACCACACCACACACCATACACCCCACCACACCACCACATACACCACACTACTCACCATACACCCCACCACACCACCACACCACACTACTACACCATACACCCCAACACTCCACCATACACCACACTACACACCATACACCCCACCACACCACCATACACCACACTACTACACCATACACCCCACCACACACATACACCACACTACTACACCATACACCTCACCACACCACCATACACCACACTACTACACCATACACCCCAACACTCCACCATAACCACACTACTACACCATACACCTCACCACACCACCATACACACACTACTACACCATACACCCCACCACACCACCATACACCACACTACTCACACCACACACCCCAACACCCACCACACCACCACTACACCATACACCCCACCACACACCACCATACACCACACTACTACACCATACACCCTCACCACTCCACCATACACCCCACCACTCCACCATACACCACCACTACACCACACCCTACCACACCACCATACACCACACCACTCCACCATACACCAACACTCCACCATACACCACACTTACTACACCATACACCTCACCACACCACCATACACACACTACTACACCATACACCTCACCTCCACATACACCACACTACTACACCATACACACCTCACCACACCACCATACACCACCTACTACACCATCACCTCACCACACCACCACACACACACTACTACCATACACCTCACCATCACCATACACCACAATAATACATACACCTCCCACCACACCACCATACACCACACTACTACCATACACCTCACCACACCACCATACACCACACTACTACACCCATACACCTCACACACACCATACACCACACTACTACACCATACACCTCCACCACTCCCACCATACACCCACACCTACTACACCATACACCTCCCACCACTCTACCTTACACCCTACACTGCCACCTCACCCACACCACATACACCACACTACTACACCATACACCTCACCACACCACCATACACCACACTACTACACCATACACCTCCACCCACACCACCATACACCACACACTACACCACACCTCACCACTCCACCATACACCACCTACTACACCATACACCTCCACCCTCTACTACCCACACTACTACACCATACACCTCACCACACCACCACCACACCACACTACTACACCATACACCTCACCACACCACCATACACCACACTACTACACCACCCTCACCACACCACCATACACCACACTACACCACACCACCACCTCACCACACCACCATACACCACACTACTACCACACCTCACACCCTCCACCATACACCACTACACACCATACACCTCACCACACACACCACCATACACCACACTCTCCTAAAGTATTACGTCTCATATACAATAAAGCCGGTCCTTCTCTGCAACAGGACAAGAGTCGTATGATGTGTATGCAAGAACTGTATTATGTAACAGGTATAATACAGTCATATTGAGACTGTATTATTTTAATTCTATACAAGGGCTTCTCCTCTCCCTCCCTCCCTCACCCTCCCCTCTCCTCCTCCCTCCCTCCCTCCCTCACCCTCCCTCCCTCCCTCTCCCTCCCTCCTCCCTCCCTCCCCTCCTTTGTCCATTCTTCCTCACTCTTTCGTAACCTCCTCTCTCCTCCTCACTCACCTCCTCCCTCCCCCCCCCAACAGAAGGAGACAATGTCAATGTGTGGGGAAAGGGAGGTAGGGAGGGATGAAAAAGAAGGGAGGGGAGAGGGGGGAGATGTCTCAGGGCCTGTGGAAGACGTTACAAGGGAGAAAGCACCATCACAGTGTCCTTGCCACCACCACCACGCTGTACCCTCACCACCACCACCACCACCATGTTATAAGGGAAGGAACAAGAACAACAGCGACAAGAAGAACAAGAAAGAACAAGAACAGCAAAGAACAATAAAAGAAGAAGAAGAAGAAGAAGAAGAAGAAGAAAGAGGCAAGAAGGAAGACAATAATAAATCCCCGAGACACAACAACACTGGAGACAGAAGCTGTGATAACTACGTCATAAAACAACTGGAAATAACACTGTGGGGCCAAGGGGAGTGGGGCCAAGGGGAGGGGGCCAAGGGGTGGGGAGAAGGGGAGTGGGGCCAAGGGGAGGGGGCCAAGGGGGAGTGGGGCCAAGGGGAGGGGCCAAGGGGAGGGGGCCAAGGGGTGAAGGAGCTAAGGTGTGAGGTGTGAGGCAAGTAGGAAGAGTAGGGAGAGAGGTAGGGAGAGAGAGGCAGATAAAGGTGGTGTAGGAGTAGAGAGAGGGGAGGCTGAGTGCTACCTTGTTGCTCTACACACACACACACACACACACTGGGGAAGGAAGCTGCCTCCACACACACACACACACACACACACACACACACACACACACACACACACACACACACACACACACACACACACACACACACACACACACACACACACACACACAACATATTCCCATCAAGAACTCAATCGGCATTACAAGAGGTCGAAGCTGTGCCAATAGTATACAGAGAGATTGGGACGTTGCAGACGGGCCAAAGTCCTCGAGAAACAAGTGTGGCGGGAGATACTGATTGTAGGTTTGTGGAAGTTTGTTTGCCACCACCCACACACATAGATCTCACATATAACTTGCATCACACCCGACACATAGGTTGGCGACGTGAGCAAGACGATATGGGTTCAGGAGGAGGAGGAGGAGGTGAAAGAACAGAATACTTTCACCTACACTACACTTGAGGTGAGGTAAGGTGGGGTGGGGTGGGGGTGTGGGTGGGGTGGTGGGTGGGGTGGGTGGTGTGTGGGTGGGTGGGTGGGTAGGGGTGGGGTGGGTGGGTGGTGGTGGTGGGTTAGTAGGTGGTGGGTAGTGGGTGGTGGGTGGTGGGTGGTGGGTAATTACACTTATCTAGACACTTATAAAGGTTTAATATTATCAAAGAGAAGAGTGAAAACAATTAAGAGTAGTTTACACACACACACAGTCAACAAGGAAGGTCGTGTGGTCGTCTTACCCCGTTGTCGTCCTGGATAATAGGGTCGTTCATGGGGTCAGGATCCAGATAATTGTTGTTGTCGTGGTGAAGGTGATGGTGGTAGTCCAGGATGTTGGTGGTAGTAGTGGTGGCATCGTCAGCCATGATCACAGTGCCGTCTGATCTCACCAGGCACCCATCTGATCTCACCAGGGTGCCATCCGAGGTGACGACGCTGCCATCAGGGGTGAGGATGGCACCCTCAGGCGTCACAAACACTGGCTGGGCTCTCCTTAGTGGCACGGAGTCATGGTGATAATGCGGGTAGTGCGGGTGGGGGTGATACCCACTCATACAGGTCGTCCTCGGGGTCGTAGAGTGGGTAGCCGCTGTCCCGAAGGTCGTCCTCAAGAAGGGCTACACTCAGGTCCCCCTCAGCAGGACCACCATAGGAAAGGAGCCGTCAGAGGTGGGCAGACCGTGGCGGCTACACCTGGGCACGGGGCCACCCAGGGGCACGGGGGCCTCGCACGGGGTACACATGCCACACAGAGCCCCCAGCATCGTGGAGGCCGTACCTCTACCGGCCTCAAACTTCAACCATTAACCCTTTCTCAGTTCCTTACACCTGAGCCACGTCTTAATTAACAGCTATCACCTAGGAACAACACCTGTAATTAACGCCAGGTAACGTCAACACAACACCTGTAATAACACCAGGTAACGTAACTACAACACCTGTAATTAACACCAGGTAACGTCAACACAACACCTGTAATTACACCAGGTAACACAGCACCAATTAACACCAGGTAACGTCAACACAACACCTGTAATTAACACCAGGTAACGTAACTACAACACCTGTAATTAACACCAGGTAACGTAACTACAACACCTGTAATTAACGCCCATAAAGACGTGTACGTATGTCTGTATAGTTGTGTACGTGTGCGCTTAATCGACTGTGTATACATGTACGTATAAGAATATCTACGGTAGACATACTTTTAACTTAGATAGATAGATAGATAGATAGATAGATATAGATACTTTCTGTTTTACACTTTAATTAACTTTTCAGGGTCTAAATTAGGTCAATGTTTATTAATGACAGGTTAATGAGTTTTCTAAACCTGTACTCTCTCTCTCTCTCTCTCTCTCTCTCTCTCTCATTTTCCATTTCTTCTTCACTCTCCTACTTTCTCTCATTCTCTCACACTCACTTTCTCTTCCTACCACACTCTCTCCCTCTCACCCATCCACTCTCCCTCCCACTCACTCACCCCTCTCCCTCTCACCTAGGTAACAACTCTCCCAGATGTTGAGGTAATTAGCAGAGGGTCGCAAGCTGGCTAATGACTACCCCAAGAGTGTGTGTGTGTGTGTGTGGTTTTGATTTGACAGTCACTACCACAACTACCACACCTGCAACCACCACAATCTCACCTGCAATACCACACAGACAATCCACCTACCACCCACCACCACCTTCCACCTCACTACCACCCTCTGCCCTCACTCGCACCCCCACCCACCCACTACCACCACCCACCCACCCACTACCACCCACTCCCACCCACTACCCCACCCACCCTCCACCACCCCACCCACTCCCACCCACTCTTAATTATTCCCAGTCAGTTGCAGAGCGCCACCAAAGGCAGTATTGCCGCCCCGTGTTTCAACCTCCGACCAATAATGTTAACTGAAGCCTTGACCTGACTTAATTACTATACAGGTAGGTTAGGTGTTCAGGTGTACTCCCACAGGTAAATGGTGAGTGTACAGTGTATCACCTGGTGTGTACTAGGGTGGGGAGGGGGTACAAGGTGGAGGGTGTGGGGAGGGGTACAATGAGGAGGGTACAAGGTGGTGGGGTACAAGGAGGAAGGGGTACAAGGAGAAGGTACAAGGTGAAGGGGTACAGGAGGAGGGGGGGTCGGGGAGGGTACAAGGAAAGGGGGTACAAGGTGGTGGGAGTACAAGGGAGGGGGTACAAGGAGGAGGGTACAAGGTGGTGGGGGGTACAGGTGGAGGGGGTACAGAAGGAGGAGGGGGTACAGGGAAGGGGGTACAAGGTGGTGGGGGTACAAGGTGGAGGGGGTACAAGGTGGAGGGTACAAGGTGGAGGGGGTACAGGTGGAGGGGTACAAGGTGGAGGGGGTTACAAATGGAGGGACAAGGCAGAAGGTAAAATGGAGGAGGTACCTGCAGGTATTCCCTAGTGGCTGGCAGCTTGTGACCAAAAGGACTTGGTCTTCTTAAATAAGGCTGAGGCGTGTGTGGTGACTCAGGCAAGTAGTTCCTTCCCTCCTTCCTTCATTTCCCTCACTTCCTTCCTTCCCTCACTTCCTTTTTTCCCTCACTTCCCTCTCACCTCCTAAACCCTCCCTCTTCTCCCTCCCTCTCCTGTCACTCCATCTCTTCCACCTCTCTCCTCTCCTCTACCTCCTCCATCTCTCCCTCCTTCTCCCCTCCCTCCTTCTCCTCCTCCTCCCTCTCCTCCTTCTCCCCTCCCTCCTCCTCCTCCCTCCTTCGTAGAGAATAGGCCTTGCCTCCCTGCTGTGAGTTGCGAGAAAATAAATTCTTCCCACCCTTCCTTCTGCAGGGTGTAGCCAGGGAGGAGTACACACCTGGATACAGCACTCACTTACCTCCTTCAGGTGTGTGTGTGTGTGTGTGTGTGTGTGTGGTGCGTGTGTGCGTGTGTTGCGTGTGGTGCGTGTGTGGTGTGTGTGTGTGTGTAAACTTATGAGTGCATGTGGTTGTATTACACACACGCTTCTCGTCATACCTGTACACATCTGACCTTAGCACACTTACGCCGACCTCAGACACACACCTGAATAACACACCTGACCTTTAAACCAGGGTCACACACCTACACAGGGATTAGACACCTGACCTACACACATGACCTAAACCTTTAAAGACCTAAGCTTCATCTACACACCTATTCTACATCTACACACCTGTTCTACATCTACACACCTGTTCTACACACCTGTTCTACCTGGGCAGGTAGCGCAGCAGCTTACCCCTCCCCTTCACTTGCGGCCTCTTAATAGCAATGCCTCCCACCCCTAGCAATATATTACCTGCTAGTGCCTCCCCCTTTAACCCTTAACCTTCCCCTTAGTCTAGTTCCCCCTTAGTCTAATGCCTTCCCTTTAACCCCTTAACCTCCCCTTAGTGTTATTTTTTTTCATTACAAGGTATATTTTCCTCTCTCTCTCTCTCTCTCTCTCTCTCTCTCTTCTCTCTCTCTCTCTCTCTCTCTCTCTCTCTCTCTCTCTCTCTCTCTCTCAATATTTGCAAACCCACGTATATAAAATCGCCCACGTAAATACACACAAAACGACCCCATCAGTTCCCGACATTTATACCCAACACACACACACACACACACACACACACACACACACACACACACACACATCGATATTTATAGGGGCATTTCCCCAGCTTCCGAGTTTTAATTTCCAGGAAGGACTACTATTCTTCTTGTTCGTACTATGAATAAAAGGGTCGTATTTGTTTCCCAGAAGGATGACTATTCTCTCTTGTTCGTACTATGAATAAAAGGGTCTTATTTATTTTCAGGATGGCATGATAGCGAATATGGCACAAAGACAGGTGTATAGCAATGTATAGCACTAAACGAGGGCAAGATAGCACCAATATAGCACAAGGAAGCAGTATAGCAAAGAGGGCAGTATAGCACAAGAGAGGACAGTATAGCACCAAGAGGGCAGTATAGCACCAAGTGAAGACAGTATAGTACAGCATAGCACAGTAGCACCAGGAGAAGACAGTATAGCACGGCATGCAGGTATAGCACCAAGAAAGGGCAGTATAGCACCAAGTGAAGACAGTATGGTACAGCATAGCACAGTATAGCACCAAGAAGACAGTATAGCACGGCATAGCGGAGTATAGCACCAAGAGAAGACTATAGCACGTATGCGAATATAGCAGCACAAGGCCCGGCACTCACAGTATTAAAGGTCTACACAAATATTTAGCCTTCAAGTTTTCCATCACAAACATCAAAGACCTTCTTGGTTTATGTTACCGACGACCCTTCCTTCCTTCCTTCCTTCCTTCCTTCCTTCCTTCCTTCATTCCTTCCAACTCCCCTTCCTACACCCCTTCCTTCCTTCCTTCCTTCCTTCCTTCCACCTCTCCCTCTTTCTCCTTCCTTCTTTCTTTCCTTCCTTCCTTCTATCCATCTTCTCTTCCTTCCTTCCTTCCTTCCTTCCTTCCTTCCTTCCTTCCTTCCTACACCCCTTCCTTCCACCTCTCTCTTTTCTCCTTCCTTCCTTTTCCTCTCCACCCCTTCCTTCCTTCCTCCACCCCTTCCTTCCACCCTCTCCTTCCTCTCCTTCCTTCCCTCCCTTCCTTCCTTCTCTATCCATCTCTCTCCTTCCTTCCTTCTTTCCTTCTATACATCTCTCTCTCTCCTTCCTTCCTTCCTTCCTTCCTTTCTATCCATCTCTCCTTCCTTTCCCTTCCTTCCTTCTATACATCTTTCTCCTTCCTTCCTTCCTTCCTTCCACCTCTCCCTCTTTCTCCTTCCTTCCTTCCTTCTATACATCTCTCTCTCCTTCCTTCCTTCCTTCCCACCCTCCACATTTCCCTCCTTCCCACACACACACACACACCTGACTACACCTGCAGGCGTCTCTTGCATCCTATTAATATACACACACCTGGCCTTGACATCTGACTCATACACCCCCTCATACATGCCTCATCTCATACACCCCTCATACATGCCTCATACATGCCTCATACACCCTCATACACCCTCATACACATTCTCAGTGTATGGTATTGTCATGTGAGCAACCAAATATACTCTCTCTCTCTCTCCTTCATCCTTCACCTCTTCTCACTCCAACCCACCCAGCTGATCACCCACCCACCTACACCTCACCTCAGCCCACCTACACCTCACCTCAGCCCACTTGCCCACCTTGACTCACCTACCCACCCACCTACTCACTGCTCAAGCGCGATATGATCAACAAATACTGACCCTCAAGCGGAAATGTCGCTGGCTGTAACTTATTCATCTGTTGGGTATTTCTAGTTATTATTTTCTAGGGAAGGGAGGGGAAGGGGAAGGGAGGGGAGGGAAGGGGGAAGGGAGGAGAAGGGAAAGGAAGGGAAGGGGAGTGAGGGAATCGTCCCAAATCTGATGCAAATATTAAACTTGTTTTTACACACACACACACACACACACACACACACACACACACACACACACACACACACACACACACACACACCATTCATTTCAAGTCTGATTTTTGTCTACTTAAGATAAATAAAGAAGGATGATAACAATGTCCTCGAGATGAACACATACTGAGGGTCGTGGTGCCTCATCTAACATTATTCTCAGTCCCACGATTTATTTAACATTGGTACTGAATGTCAACAAACAATGGCTGGGGTGGGGTTGGGTGGGGGTGGGTGGGGTGGGTTGGGTGGGTTGGTAAGGTGGGTTGCTAGTTGGTGGGGTGTGGGGGGTGGGGTGATGGGGTTGGGTTTGGTGGGTGGGGTGGGTGGGTGGGTTGGTGGGTTGGTTTGGTTAGGTTGGTGGGTGGGTGGGGATGGTGGGTTTGGTTAGGTGGGTGTGGGTGGGGT